TGTTGAATTATCCTTGGGAAGTTCTAGAAATATCATTGTTTTGGCAGCTATTTTCTACAAAAAGTTCTTGGAAATGATAAATTTTCCTGTAACAGTAGGAGAGACGGTTTTGTGTGAGAGCAATTGGTCATCTTAGTTATAGGGGCTTGAGATGTTGGGCTCAAAGGTCCTGGGTTTACGTCTCTAGCCATAAAACTTAAAAGTTTACAATGTTTGTTGTCTTCGAAACTGATCATGGGGTGAGCAAAGCAGCTCGGGGTTAGTGAAATGCTTCGGTAGTTCAGTTATCGAGGGAGATAACAAATTACAGCACAAACACTCATCGAGTCGAGCATAGCTCATTCGATAAAGCACCCGTTATCATTACAAAGGTCAAGACTCCGTTTTGAAACTCATCCAGTCATTGCCTAATGCAAATTTTCAATTTTCACATCCCTATAATTTCAGCCACTGGAAGATTACTTCAATGTTCTTTCCTGTACTATTTTTGTTTGAACTTTACCAGGTAATTGCCATATTGGATCGGATCAAAGACGAAAAAAACAATATCGATGATGAAGACATGGAGCAATCTGAACTATCTGATGCTCCTCAAGACGACCGGGATTGGGAAGAGGATGATGCTGATGAAGACATAATATACGTACAATAGGTCGTCACTGTTCCAGTTCTTGTTCAACTTACGCTCATCTGTGCTGAGGCATCGGTTTGCCATCGCAGGTTCGTTATACTACGAGTTTCATCCATCTGGGTTTAACTTTATCGTCCATCTTAGTAACTTTATTATGGATTCTCTTGGATGATATAATTTTGAAGCCACCATTGTTATTTGCAGAGCAAGAAGTGAAGGTAAAAATGGTTCAACACCAAGCTCTGCCTCTGATTCAAAATGATGTTGCTCATGATTCTCATTATGCAACCCATAATCTATTATCACCATATATAATAGATAGAAATTTCCTATTCTATCTTCTGATTCATCTGTTCGTAGTTGCATGGGGACGATAATATTGATATCAAATACATATTGCATAAGAATTTAAATGTGAATGTCGACATCTATGTCGTTTCGTTATAATGTTTGTCGTGATATGACCCGTAATATTGGTATGGAATCTTAGGAGCTTTCTATGTTGAGTTGGGATCATGTTCATCTTTGCAACTTATTTTTCTTTTGGGATATTCAACTGTTTTTTTTTTCTTCTTCTTTTCTTTTTTTCTTTTTTGGGGTTAATTGACCGTTTTTGTCTACATATTGATAGTATAAATTTTTTTTTATAAAAGTTACGGGGTTGATAATACATTTAAAATTTCATGTGTATTTTTTAAATATAGTATTAACACAATAGTATTTTTAATTTAATTTTAAAAAAAGTTTAATATAATTCAACTCAAAACCTCCTTCTACCAAACGGATGCTCTAACCAACTGAGCTACAAGAGACACCGCTTACTACTTCAAAGGATAGACATAAACGAAAAACAAACCCTAATCTATTTGAGATCCGATGTGCAACTTAAAATAGTAAATAGTGCATTATTGAGAGTTGAACACAAGACCTCCCGCTTACTAAACGGGTGCTCTAACCAACTGAGCTACAAGAGCCACTTCAAAGGATAGACATACCGAACATAGAAACAAAAAACAAACAAACCCTAATCAAAGGATAGACATACCGAACATAGAAACGAAAAACAAACACACCCTAATCTATTTGAGATCCGATGTGCAACTTAAAATAGTAAAGATAATGCTCTTGTTGAGAGTTGAACTCAAGACCTCCCGCTTACTAAACGGGTGCTCTAACCAACTGAGCTACAAGAGCCACTTCACAAGGTAGACATACCAAACATAGAAACGAAAAACAAACAAACCCTAATCTCCGATGTGCAACTTAAAATAGTAAATAATGCTCTTGTTGAGAGTTGAACTCAAGACCTCCCGCTTACTAAACGGGTGCTCTAACCAACTGAGCTACAAGAGCCACTTCATAACTTAGACATACCGAACATAGAAACGAAAAACAAACAAACCCTAATCTATTTGAGATCCGATGTGCAACTTAAAATAGTAAATAGTGCTCTTGTTGAGAGTTGAACTCAAGACCTCCCGCTTACTAAACAGGTGCTCTAACCAACTGAGCTAAGAGCCACTTCAAAAAGTAGAGATACCGAACATAGAAACGAAAAACAAACGAACCCTAATCTTTTAAGTAGTACATAATATAATGCTATTGTTGAGAGTTGAACTCAAGACATCCCGCTTACTAAACGGGTGCTCTAACCAATTGAGCTACAAGAGCCACTTCAAAAAGTAGACATACCGAACGTAGAAATGACAAATAAAGATTATAAAGATGACTAGGATTTGTACATAGTATTAATTGAAAAATAAAAACAAAAAACCAACTAATTTTTTGATATGATCGAGCCTTGTTGAGAGTTGAACTCGCCCTAACCAACTGAGCTACAAGAACATTTTTATAGTGTAGACATACCGAACATAGAAATATCAAACGTACTAAGAGATCTATCCATACTGATGAGAAGAATAAGTAAAAGACTAATTTATCCTTACCCAACAAACCCCAATCCAACATTATCAAAGTAAATCAATCTTAATGGCTCAATTTCTTAATACAATCACGGCTTCAAGTCAAATAAGATAGAATTTTTTTTTTTAAAAAAAATCAAATTGAAATTGATTTAAATTATGAATACACATTATTAAATTTATTGTTTTTGTAATATAATTAAGTGTTTAAAAGTTCAACTTTTATAACCTAAAATAAAATAACATTTATGTGCTCTCGTTGAGAGTCGAACTCAAGACCTCCCGCTTACTAAACGGGTGCTCTAACCAACTGAGCTACGAGAGCTTATTGTTTGAAAGATCTATTTAAATATTAAATCAATATTAGTTTTTATGAAGCAAAAACTTTATTTTATTTAGTTACATAATTATTTTACTTTTATTAAAAATAAAATTTTGAATAGATGACCCGAACCTACCCAACCCAATATCTATGGTTGAGTTGGGTTAGGTTCACTATTTAGTTAGGGCTGTTCGGGTTGAAACAACTCGAACAATTAGGTTAGGTCTAGAAAATGTCTCAACCCAACCCACAAAAACCCTAAACCCAAGTCACATCGTACGTTGTGGACATGCAGATCCTTCGTCAGTGTTATCGTCATCTAAGGAAAGGTTAACTTGGTAGGTCAGATCAAAAACACGTCGAGTGTTGTCCAAACCTCACCTCGACATATTAAACTAGGCAATGCACGTAATTTCTTTCATTGTTGGACCGTGTGACAAGCTGCGATTCAACCCGGCAACTTACAAAAAAAAAAAAAAATAGCCATTTATATATTTTTTGAAAATCAAAGTGGATAATAAATTTTCATATGTGGCTATGCTCCGTAATTATCCATAACATTTGGGGTCACACAAATATATTTTATTAAATGGATTTGAAAAGGACTTGAGGCATTTCTCCAACCCTAAATTGAGGCTTCTTATTATCCTATCGAATTTTTAATTATATAATTTATTTAAATTTAAATTTTTTATTTTAAATATGAAATTTATCGGTCTCACAGTTTTAAAACGTGTCTACTCGGGAGAGGTCTCACAATTTATCGGTCTTCACACACATCCAGTCATGTTTCCTTTTTCTGGGTAGATTTGAATCTCTCCTCATACATATTATTAAATTAAAAAAATAATATATAAACATGACGGACTAAATTTTAAGTCGATATTGTTTGGTTGGAACGATAGAGTAAGGGAATAATATTAGATATTTTTAAAATTAAAAAAAATGGAATCTAAATTTATTTATAAAAACAAGGAATCACAAGGACTAAAATGTAATTTAGAATATATTCATTGTAAACTCCACGTCAGACGGCAAAAAGAAGGGAATCTCCACGCCAGCTGTCAAAAGGAAAAGGAATGTCCACGTTGCTGTCATGCAGTTAGAAGAATCCTGTGGTGACGTATTTATTTTCCATTAAAAAAACATTTTAATTTTTTTAAATACTTCAAAAAAATAATTTATGAGTTTTAAATTTTATGGCTATTTAAAAAAATGACTATTTAACTAAAAGAGAAAGTATTAATGAAATATTAATAAATTTTTTTAAAAATTTAAGGTTATTATTAAAAATTTTGAAAGTTTAATCAATTTAATAATCGAGTCAAAGATTAATCGTAGACACGTGGCCCACAATCATGTAAACAACACTGACACGTCATTATTGTGAGTGCGTTGACCCTTTTATCATTGGTCCTCGTCAGCCCAAACTTTTTGCTTCTCCATTTTCCAAAGCCAAAAAATTTCCCACCAATATTTGAACAAATAATAATAATATATATAAAAATGCAAAGGGTAAATTTGGAAAATGTAACCAAATTTAGAATAAAATTTTTCTTTAAGAAAATCGTTTATTAGTGAATGATTTTTTAAATAAAGAAATCTAATTCTGAGGCAAATTCCAATATTAAAAAAATAAATTATATTAAAAAATGACGGGTTCGTTAAAATTATTCTTAAGAACTCAATCTGAGCTGAGTGTACACGAACTGGGTTGGGTTGATGACCCTATAACTCGAATAGAGTTCACAACTCAATCTAAACTAACCTTCCTGTTTTTATTTTAAATTATTTTAAAATAATTTACTTATTTACGAGTTATCACTTATCACTAACATTTGTTACAATAATCAAATATTTTTAGTTTTTATAATATATTAAAATTAGGTTCGGGTTCTATTGTAACACTGTTTTCGGGCTGGTTGAGTTGACTCGACCAAAAAAAAATATTAACCTGCAAACCAACCGGAAAAAAATTAACCTAACCCAAGTTGGTTATGTAGTTTAGGTTTTAGATACGAACACTCTCAAATTTCGAAAAATTATGAAAAATTAGTTGGATTTGAAATTGAAATAGATCTATTGAACTAAAAATAATAATAAATTGAAAGGTTCCAAACACCAAAATTGGAAGTATGAGTTTTTGAAAGCCCAAAAACCTAAATAGAAACAAACGGACTCCTCCACATAAGCCACCGTCTTCCTCCTCTGTTTCTTATCCCTCTCCACCTCCTCCCATGGCGGCCGCCGCGCTCAACCTCCCTTCTCTCTCTTCCTCTCCCTCTCCCTCTCCCTCTCTCTCTCATCCCACACATTTCCTTCCGACCCCTCTTTCCTTCTCCTCGAAATCTCTTCCGAAATCCCACTCATTCCATTCCCATTCCCTTCCCAAACCCCTCCTCGTCGCCGTTGCCGCCGCTGCCAAATCCCCCATCTCTCACTTCTTCTCCGATGACGATTCCGACGACAAGCCGCGTGAGGAGTGCGGCGTGGTCGGAATCTACGGCGACCACGAAGCCTCTCGCCTCTGTTATTTAGCCCTCCACGCTCTCCAACATCGCGGCCAAGAAGGCGCCGGTATCGTCTCCGTCAACGACGACGTCCTTCAATCCGTCACCGGCGTTGGCCTTGTCTCTGAGGTTTTCAATCAAACCAAACTCGATCAATTACCTGGCGATTCTGCTATTGGCCATGTTCGTTACTCCACGGCTGGAGCTTCCATGCTTAAGAATGTCCAACCCTTCGTTGCTGGATATCGATTCGGCTCTGTTGGGGTTGCTCATAATGGTAATTTGGTTAATTATGGTTCTCTTAGAGCTAAACTTGAAGATTCTGGTTCCATTTTCAATACTAGTTCTGATACTGAAGTTGTTCTTCACCTTATTGCAATTTCTAAACAAAGGCCGTTCTTATTGAGAATTGTGGATGCTTGTGAACAGCTTGAAGGAGCTTATTCAATGGTGTTTATTACTGAAGATAAATTGGTAGCTGTACGTGATCCTTATGGATTTAGGCCTTTAGTTATGGGTAGGAGAAGTAATGGCTCTGTTGTGTTTGCTTCTGAAACTTGTGCTCTAGATTTAATTGAAGCCACATACGATAGAGAAGTGTTTCCTGGTGAAGTTTTGGTAGTTGATAAAAATGGGATTCAATCCCTTTGTTTAATGGCTCATCCACAGCCAAAATCATGCATATTTGAACACATATACTTTGCTCTACCGAACTCTGTTGTTTTCGGGCGTTCTGTCTACGAATCCCGCCGAGCATTCGGCGAGATACTTGCAACCGAAGCCCCTGTCGATTGTGATGTCGTGATAGCCGTACCAGATTCAGGAGTAGTAGCTGCTCTTGGCTATGCAGCCAAAGCTGGTGTTGCTTTCCAACAAGGGCTCATAAGGTCACATTACGTTGGGAGGACATTCATAGAGCCATCGCAAAGGATTCGTGACTTCGGCGTAAAGCTAAAGTTGTCGCCGGTTCGAGCAGTGTTGGAAGGGAAGAGAGTCGTGGTCGTGGATGACTCGATTGTTAGAGGCACCACATCTTCAAAGATTGTGAGGCTGTTAAAGGAAGCAGGGGCTAAAGAAGTGCATATGAGGATAGCTAGCCCTCCAATTATTGGATCATGTTATTATGGAGTTGATACCCCAAGTGCTGAAGAACTGATATCAAACAGGATGAGTGTTGATGAAATAAGAGAGTTTATTGGCTGTGATTCACTTGCTTTTCTGCCATTTGATAGCTTAACGAAGCTTTTAGGCAATGATTCTTCAAACTTTTGCTATGCTTGCTTTTCAGGGAACTACCCAGTTGAGCCAAGAGAGATCAAAGTGAAAAGGGTTGGAGATTTTGTTGATGATGGCTTGAATGGGAGCTTGGAATCCATTGATGGAGGATGGGTTCAAGCTAACAGACATCAAAATCTTGAAAATCATCTCAAAGTGGAGAAGGTTGGGGGCGTTTGATCTGATATTTTTACTTTAAACTTGATTCATCTTGTTTTTGTCTTTGTTTCTCTTATATCCTTCACAGTTGGAGAGTTATAGAAGTGATTTGTGATTGGAAGAATGCATGATTTAGAGTGTTCTAAGTTATGTGATGAGCATGATTTAGAGTGTTCTAAGTTATGTGATGATTAATGGGCTCTGCAAAATGGTTTCTTATGTCAATTTTGCATTATTTGTTACTCGAAATGTTGTATAGTCAGACGGTTGTTGTTCTTGTTATTTGTTTATCTGAATATTGTATAGTTGGACGGTTTTTCTTATTCGTTTGTTGTTATTGTTTATTACTCTAATGTTGTATAGTCAGACGGTGGTTTGGGTATACTACGACCTAAACGAACGGTATGTTGTGAGATCCCACGTTGGTTGGAGAGGAGAACGAATCATTCCTTATATGGGTGTGGAAACCTCTCCTTAATGGATGCATTTTAAAATTGTGAGACTGATGACGATACGTAACGGGCTAAAACGGATAATATCTGCTAACGGTGGCTTGGGTTGTTACAGTTGGTATCAGAGCTAGACACTGAGTAGTGTGCCAATGAGGACGCTGGCTTCCAAGCGGAGTGAATTGTATAGTTAGGGATGTTCTTATTCGTTTGTTGTTATGGTTTCTTACTCTAAATGTTGTATAGTTAGACGGTTGTTTGGGTATGCTACCACCCGAACGGATGGTGGTTTGGGTATGCTAGCCCTCGATTATCTAGATGTTGTTGTTTTTAAGCCTAGAATAGTCGAAACATGGCCGCAATGGGTTTATGGGTCATTCTAAGGAAAAGATCTCTAGAAAAATTAACAAACAAAAACATGTACTCTCGAATTGGGTTATGAATGTCTAATTCATAAAGCGTTGAGCTACAAAATCCTAACTTGTGAATGTACCCCCTCTTCCCGATCCATCACAAGGGAAACGAAAACCAAGATTTGCTTTATTTGGTATTAAACGCAAGTTACGAGAAAATAGAACACCTTTCAGGAGTATCAATGTTGTTACATGAATCGTAAATGCATGAATATGAGTACCAAAAAATCTGTGTTCCTAACGGAATAGGTAACAAAGCAACTTTGCCACCCACTGCCACTAAATTACCACCCCCAAGTCATCAAACTGGTGCTTGTTGTTCCGTTCCATCGGGGCCGTTATACTATGTGCTAAAGCATGGGTTAGATAGAGCTAGGTTGGACCCAAATAAAGAAGTAAAAGGCCCAAAATCTCATTTTGGGCCTACCGAAATCGTTTCAAGGTGGGTAAAGCACATGTAAGCTCGTAAGGTGTCAAAACAGCAGATTTGGCAATTGTGTTACACTTGTTCTAATCCAACGAACAAGTCAGTCATGTGAAAAATCAAACTTTGCGGTCAATTATGACGTATGGTTAAGCCTCAAGCCACGTTTCGAGAAAAAAATCGAACTTTACAGTCAATTATGACGTATGGTTAAGCCTCAAGCCACGTTTCGAGAAAAAAATAAGTTTTAGAAAACGTGGTCGAGGAAAATGGTTGAAATTAAGCATTGTGAAAGTCAACTGCATAAATTACAATACTTGGTCGGGAGGCTTGATGACTACTTGGTCTCCCTGCAGTATATTTTTAGACAATACAGGTTTTGCAGACACAGACATGATTTCGATGACTAAGGGGTACATAAATAAATCAATTACGTCTAAATTAGAGTGAGCATAATGTTACTATTTATACTAATAAGATGCACATTCTCTTTCGATGTCTTGATCATAAAAAATTTAAAATTAAACGTGTTTAGCTTGACCCAATTTTTGAAGTTAAATAATTTTTATTTAGGGGAATTATATAAATATATATAGAGAGATAATTTAGCCTAAATAAATAAATAAATAATAAAAGAAAGTAAATCCAGACAAGGGCACGCTAATGCTATGACCAAACAACGCGGCTGGAGAAAAAATCGGAGAATCTAGGGCCCACATAGAAGTGGGACCCACTTCTCAACAAAAAGATCAGAATCCACTTGATCGCTGTTGACGTAAAATGAGATAACATTGGATCCTCACAAACCTATCTACTGCCGCCACGTCATTGCGGAGCCACAACGACCTGTCACTCTATCGTATCCTCCCCGTGATTTTGGGTATATGAAAAGACCAAATTACCCATCCCAGAAACGCCTCCGTTGCTGTAAAACACAGGACAAGCCTGTCCAGATGTACTCTCCCCAACATTATCAACCCAATTCTTTAATCAATTTTACATTATTTTCTTTTCTTTTTCAAATATATTTATGCCTAAATTTACAAAATAGTCCCTCACCTTTTCTTAAATTACAAATTTAATTTAAATTTTTTTAAATAATAATATATATTATATCCCAAAATTAAAAACAAAGTAATTAAATATTTTTATAAAGTTTAAGAATTTATCCAACATTTTTTAAAGTCTTGAGACAACATAAATACATACGTGACAATTCATAAACTAAACTTATAACATGAAACCGAGTGCACCAATCAACCACAATATAGACAAGACATAAACTATTTCTTCAGCAATTATAATATATTTTCTCAGAGAATTTAATTTGAGATTTTCATAACAATAAAAGTAAAATAAATAATTAAAAAAAAAAACGACCGAGTATATTTAACCTATATTTATTTTTATCCTCGAGATAATTTAATATATATTATTTATTTATTTATTAAAGGATTAGAGGGGGGGAGTGGGGGCAACTTTATTGACCAAATATAATAATTGCTCGAAATGGCTCGACAAAGGACATGTTTAAATTCAGATTCAAAGTGGTGACGTTCTTTGACTCTTTTGACTCTTTGACCAAAATCTTCATATTTTTATAAGTACAATTTTGCCCCTTACTAATTTCAATATTTTCATTTTCAAATCAAAATTAATTCCCTTCTTCCACCTCCTTCCAATCATATAATATCCTAATTTTTTTTTATCGATCTATTAAAATTTTATATTTCAAACGAGAACGATCCTAAAGACATAAACAAAATTAATAATTATTATCTATATCAACCAGATACGCTGTTTTGAGTCAAATTTTAAGGTGGTATTTTAAGAATTTTTCTAAAAAAATATGTGAGCGAGAACAAAACATACTATAAAAACGTCGAGTCCCGGGAGTGTTATATATATATATATATATTGTAAATTGAGTGCCTTCTTCGACTTTTCATCTTATTTTCAGTAATGGAAAAGGAAAGTGGTTTGGAAAGTGTGTTATTTATTTATTTATTTATTTTAAAATTGTCTTTATCATTAGGTAGGAAAAAAAAACAAAAATAGATTCACATTTTCAACACTTATTTAACAGGGAGAAAAAAAAAGGTCCTATTTTTTTATTTAAAAAAAAAATGCATGTGGGCCCCACCTCTCACGAGGACGAAACGGTTGAGAAACCCTAGTAACGGAAGATGACGGAAACGGCCGTCACGCCAGGGCAAGGAAAGACAAGAGAAAAGGCCGTCGTTGGCTCCCTCCGTTAAAAGGTAGTTTTAGAAGGCGTCAATATGTGGGGCCCAATAAAGCCCATCCAAATTCCAAGTGACGCCTTGGTCCCACGTGCCAATATCTTAGCCTTTTTTTTTTTTTTTTT